CTCCATAAGTTTGGGTATGTTGTATATTCTTATTCATGCAATTCTAGAAAGTCTTTCATTTCTGGATTTATGTCTTGATCTATTTTTTTATTAATGTAAATTGTATAATTTTTTCATATACTTGTTTATTATGTAGACAGTTGTTCACATTCTATGAAGTTAAGCTTTCTGTCATTAATATTCAATTTCAATTCATGTTGCTCAGATAGAATGTAGGGTGTTATTTCAATTTTCTTGTTTCTCTGCAGACTTGCTCTGTGCCCAAATATGTAGTCATTTTGCAGAAAGTTCCATTATGTGTCACGAGCCACAAGGATATGAAATAGAAAGTCCAGCTGTATATAATAAGCTATACTTTGACCGGCCAAGGGTCTGTCAAATAGAAAGCTACTTATCACGGAATAATTGGTGTTACACAGCTTTAATATTCAGCTGCGTCTTGCTATGAATTCCTTGTGCTCATAATTCTCCCAGAATGTGTGTATGTGTGTGAACCCTCCTCTCTGGCATATATGCTCAAAGTACTTGGATAAAGTCAAGTAGGCAGAACTTTCTGGCGCTGAGCTCCTGACTCCCTTTTTTAGCATTTGAATTGGGTATCTGCCTTTTGCAAATATTTCCTTTTAGCCACATCCAAAGATAGGACCAGCCCCAAACAAATCATTAAAAGACGAGAGAGGAACAGAAAGGCTACCAGACCACCTGCTAGGCGCCCGAAGCCCCTGAACTAGGTAAACCTTCCTTTCGGAGACAGTTCGGCTCCCAGGCCAAGCGCCTGGTCTCCTAGGTGTGTAGCTTTGTTTCTTGTGCAAATCAAGTTCAGATCTTCCACTGCCCCAGAGCAACTTCTTAGCTCAAAGGGGTTGCCTCTCACCTGGTGCTTCAAGCTGTGATGCAAATTGTCTAGCTATCATTGCCCCCCCCCCCCCCCCCCCCCCCCCCCCGTCAGAAAACCGGCAGCAGAGAAAAACAGTGGCAGTTTTAGTTTAGTGACCTATAGATTTCTTCACCCTATCACCTGTGAGTTTGTAGTTTGAGCACACTTATGGTAGACTTGTAATGTTTTTACCTAACCGCAGTAAGGATATATTCCTAGCACATAAATTCCTTCTCTGACTTATTCCAGCTCCTCTCTAACTTTTCCTTTATTCTCTTCCCCTTTTTGGGTTGCAAATGAAGTTGTCAGGAAGCTTCTGGTGGGGACCTTGCAATTCTTGTGTTGTATTGTAAACATGAAGGTGTTGCTGTCTTGGAAAAGATATAGAAGCAGGCAGAGAATTTTGGACAGAGTGATGGTGGCGGTTGAATAAATGAGTTGAATGAAAGAGCTCCATGTGTCTAGATTCATTCCCACCCACTGGTAGTGTCACTTCTGGGCCCCCTGGGATACTATAGTATTAAGGCTAGACCTATAATATTATACAAAAATTATGTATAGAATAGGAGGTATATTCTTTTGTATTTGAGTGAAATGTTCAGTAAGTGTCTGTTTAGTTCATTTATTTTATACCATGAGTTAGTGCCAGCATTTCTCTACTTGCTTTGTCTGGATGACCTGTATAATGTGATTCTGTTCTGGCAAAGCTGCTTCTTTGTAATCCCCAGCTCTTGGGTGAGTCCTTGCCGTGAACCTGCACCTACACAGATCTTGGCAACACTGGCAGGTTGGTGATGCTGCGTCCACACTGTGCTGGGTGTGGACGTGGGTGGTCTGTGCAGTTTCCCTTCTCGGCTTGTGCTTGTGTTTGTGTTTGTGCTGATTCAGATTGTTTCCTCTCATCACCTATGATTGCTTGTGCTTGTGCTTGTGTTTGTGCTGATTCAGATTGTTTCCTCTCATCACCTATGATTTCCTTCCTGTCTTCCCTTCCCCTTCCCCATCTGGTCGGCCTCTGAATTGAACCCTATGCCTCCTGGTGTTAGAGAAGTTTTCACAGAGCAGCAGTGTCTACCCTTAACACCTCATCCAATTTTCTTTTTCTTTTCTTTTCTTTTTTTTAAGGGATAATGGACAACAATGTTTTCTTTTTCTCCTGCATGCAGTTGGTCAAAGGTACCAGTCTGAAGACAGAAATATAAATTTGCTTCACATTTTATTTATTTGCAGTGATCTTTTTCAAGGCCCAAATTGGAGTTCTAGAAAGTATTTGTAACTTTGGTGAATGTGCAGAAGGCCAGCACGGCTGACAAAGAGCTTCATGGTGTTGGCATTATATTTTTGTTGCTGTTGCTTGTTTTGCTTTAGCTGTTTTAAATGGAAGGAATTGGGAGTGTGAATTTTGTAGCCAGAAATTTCCAAGATTGCAGTCTTTGGAAAAAAAAAATACTGACTTTCTTTACCCTTCAGGTAGTGAATGGTATCAGGCTTGGCTTCCTTCTGAGAGATCTTAATTTTGTAAAGTATTGATTTCCACAGGAGATGTCTGTTTTTCACAATTCTACACATGTCACATTGTCGCTCTGAGCATGGCTGTTTCCATGTATTGCTAATTCTACCAGGTCAATAATAAGACACTACTGCAACTGTTATGCCCAGATCACAACCCCAAAGAGACCACCGAAGACTGTGGATATCCAGAATGCAACAGCAAGGTTTATTCTGTAGATACAAGTCTAGACAGGGAACTCATTCCTACACCCAATACAGTGAGGCAGGGAGGAGTTGCTCTTTCTTTGTAAGGCTAGCTTTTTAAAGGCAAAAACTGCAAGCCCTTCAGGGTGGTTTTGGGGGGGTTTTCACGGGTGCAACTCGGATTGGTTTATTTTTATCTCTGTTCTCTTTTAATTGAGTGAGGGTATATAACCTTTGAATTTACTGGTTGGGGGTTACAATTATCATTTTGGGGGCTGTTCAGGACAAATCCCAGGCTTTGTCCTTGAGCTGCCATGGGGGCTGGCTGGCCTAGCACGTACTGACTGTGGGGGCTGGCTCAGTGGTCTAGGCTCTGTCCTTGACTCATGCACATAACTCTAAGTTGTTGAGGGGTCCCAGACAGTAAACATCTGGCTGAACTTTGAGCAGTCAGAGTACGTGCAGAAAGGGAGCTACTGCAAGGACTATGTCTTTTGTTCATGGCCCTCCCAGAGACTGCTTGCTCAAGTCTCAGGAAACTGAAATTGAGGCCTGATCTCTAAGAGAAGACTGAGCAGCCTGTTATGGCATCTGCTTGGTCCTTTCACAACTTTTTAGCCAAATTTGAAGCAAGCTTTATTTAGATACTGCCAAGGTGGATGGACTCTGGCCCAGTCCATTCCCAGGTTCCCAGAAAATGGCAACAAGTCACATTTTGCAGAGGCTCATCAAGGCAAACCCATAAGGCCACATATTTCCCACCAGGTTCAATCAGGGGCATGCATATTTCCTGAAATGCTTCCTGCCTGCTTACCTCCTGCCTACATGTGCATATCCAGTATAGTTGAGTCAAAGGAACTTGTTTAGGGGAGCAAAATCGTGGCTTGTTTACTTGCATAAACAGTAGTCATAAGCATTTCAGGAAATGTGTGTCCTTAGACAAGGGGCTTACAGGTTAGAGGGATTTTTGTTTTATGGATCTTTTAGGCCCGGTAATTAAAATGTAAAACATAACTTCAGCTCTCACAGGATCTTGGTCAGGGAAATGTTGGCTTTCACATCCCAGTGAAGAAGACAGATGTCTTAACCTAATTGCTGTTGCTGTCATAGAGTATGACATGCTGGATAACATGTCCAGCCAACAAGCCAAGTGTTGCTAAAATTCTTTCCCCAAGGGAGATGTAAAGCAATTCTTCCCAAGACCCAAACAGCAAACTGAGGCAGGATTCTGCCACAGTTCATCCTAGGGAACCTATGGGTTGATTGGGTTCCTTAAAGTGCATATGATAAAGATTATTTATAGGAGTTTGGCCATTCCTCGATCAGCTAGCTGATCCTGGAAAGCCTCACTCAGCAGGGATGAGTTTCCCAGTAGCTGCAGAAAGAGTGTCCCACCCCAGTCCTTGTCCCCTTCATTCTCCCCTGCCCCCATATATCTTATCCCCTTTCCAGAGCTCACCGCCTGGATCCTCGGATGAGAGTCTTGTGCCTTCCTCCATCCCTCCATGTGGGATTGTAAATAGTCAGCAAGCCCAGCTGTGATCATCTTACGCAAGTGGGCACTTAGGAATTCTCCAAGATGGAGGTTGCTTATCTGGGAAGACATTCTGTCACATTATGACTAAGATTAGTCAAAATGATCTTTCATATGAAGAGCATCTGTGATGGTCATGTTTCGAGACCTAATTTGATAGACTTGAAGAAAGTATTGGTGAATTTTACTGTTTATTTTTGTTAAAATCTTAATGTGAATAAGGGATGGAGATATGGGTCAGCAGTTAAGAGCACAGACTTCTCTTCCAGAATACGGAATTTGATTCCCAGCATTCACATGATAACTCATGACAGTCTGGGACTCCACTTTCAGGGAATGCAATGCCTTCTGGATGGCACCAAGCAGAAAAAAAATCTATACACATGAAATGAAATCAATTAATATTAATGTGCAGTTACTGTTGGGAATATCATGAAAGCAGAAGCAGGCATGGTGAAGTCTCAGGGTTAATCGTTTAGTGTCTGCATCATCATTAGAGAATGACCATTGTGGGCTCTTCGTTAGCCGACTGTGAGATCCTGAGATTTGGGAATGTTTACTTTAGTGGATGGAGGGTTTCCTCATGGCCTTATGCAAAGAAAACCTTTTCTGAAATTCAGGGACTGCTTTTCATAACTGTGAGCCCTAAGTGGAGTACTCCTGCTGTGTATGTCTATTTTATCTATCCATTGAGTAATTGTATTCCCTTGTTTTTGTGTTTTAAGTATATTGGCAGGAAATGGATACATTGAAACATGAAGTGGGAGAATGTCATGGGCTTTTAACTCATTCCTAATGTTTCAGGTTTCCTATCAAGCCCCGTGGGGTTCCTGTGCTTGAATCTACTTGGAACCTGCTCCTACCCTGAGTGCTGTTTTATTTTGTTTTGCTTAGCAAAGAATATTTTCCTGAGCACCTGTTGGGGTGACTGTGTGTTCTGCTGACTGCAGGAGTCTTCAGGAGGACATCTAGACACATCAGATGCACAAAATGGTGAGTATGCCTTGGGCTCCTGGAATCCTGGGTGGCAGGTGAATGAAAAATAAAAGTGGACATGACTACACCCATGTGTGGTGGAGGAGAAGGTTCATTGTAAATATGAGAGAGAGACAGCCCAGCCAGGGGCCTCTGGAGTGGTCCGCAATGACCTGGGCCATGTTAGAAGAGAAAGGGTAGGGAGAGCAAGAGACAAAGAGAAGAGAAGGAGGAGAGAAGGGGACCAAGTGGCCAAGAGGCAAAAAGTCTGGGCCTTATAGACTCAGAGAAGCTGGGGGAATGCCACAGACTGGCCCATCGGGGGTATCACGACCGTAGAAGAACCAGGGCTTGGGTAGTCAGGAAGGCAAGGATTCGGTGAATGACAGACAAGACAGCACACTCAGAATTGGTTTGAATCTGCTGCAATTCACTTCATAACTGAAAATATTCCTGAACCTTGATACTCGAAACTACTCCTCTCTTCCCTTTTCCATGCTTGTTTTTTTCCTCCTGCATCCGCCGCTTTATTTGTATATCACATGCATTCTACTATCCCTGTAACACTCCTACCTACTCACAGATCTCATGGAACCTTTCTTCTCCTTGTTTTCTTTGGACACACAGTCCAGTTTTGATACAGATGAGTGAGAGATCAGAGATAGAATCCATATATATGAGAAACCGACTGCATTGGACTTTGTGTGCTTGGGTTACATGGCTCAGTATAATTACATTTCCAGCTACATCCATTTGCCTGCAAATTTCATTTCTGTTTTCTCCTTAGCTGAGTACAATTCTAATGTGTACATGTGCCTATAGCTGGTCTTTCTTTGGATCACCAGCTCGTGAATTATGACACAGAGACTTCTTATTAATTATGTAAGTTTGGCCTTAGCTTAGGCTTGTTCCTAGCTACCTCTTTTTTTTTTTTTTTTGGTTTTTCGAGACAGGGTTTCTCTGTGTAGCTTTGCGCCTTTCCTGGAACTCACTTGGTAGCCCAGGCTGGCCTCGAACTCACAGAGATCCGCCGGCCTCTGCCTCCCGAGTGCTGGAATTAAAGGCGTGCGCCACCACCACCCGGCTCCTAGCTACCTCTTAAAACTTAAATTAACCCATTTATGTTCACCTGCATTCTGCCGTGTAGCTCGTTACCTTTTCTCAGTACCTCTGACTTCCTCCGCATCTGGCTGGTGAATCCCCCGCCACTCAGATTCTTCCCAGAGTTCCTACCTTTGCCTGGAAGTTCCCTCTATCCTCTTCTGACTAGTATTTACCATTCAGCTCTTTATCAAACCGTGCCTTAGGCAGGCAAAGAAGGACAGAGACACATTGTTACACAGTATGATCAAATGTCCCCCAACACTTCTCCCTTTTGTCTAAAATAAAGAAGGAAATTTTTTTTGACTCTAACACAGTTAAACTACATACAATGAGAACAATTATCAGGTAAGAATTACATTCACAATATCCAGTCCATTTTTATTTGGCAACTTTGGAGAAAGTACTCTATTATCTATCCTATCTTGGTGAGTCCAAAGTTTTGTGCCTAAATCACTTTCTAGTATAACTTACATTATCAACCTAAAAATAACTTTTTATACCTTAAAACATTTTCTTGATAAACAGCTTAAGCTTTTATGTCTCTCAACCTTTATAAACTTTATATCTCCTTTGTGAGTTTCTTTTCTGAAATTAGTAACAAGGAAAACTGTAAAACTATAACTGTCTAGTCTTCAGCCACATCAGTGACCTGGGAAGGATAAAATATTACCTCAGTAAACAGGATGTGCAGAGCAAGTAGCTTCCAAAAACTATAGAAATGACAGAAACAGCTGGCTGCTTGGACAGTCATGCAAGGTTCCTCTGCAACATTGGGCATCCATCCCAGCCTACAGGCCTACATTATCTACAGACTGTTCTGTGAAGCAGGAATTTTGAAGGACTGTCCTATCTTGTTTTTGCTAAGTTTGGCAGTAGACTTCATTGTGTCTTGCTTGTCCAATTAGACAGTATACTGTCAGTAACTGAGGCAAGAAGAGTTTCTTGCCTAGTGGCTAGCTTTGCCACATTGAAAGCAAACTCCCTATAGAATTTCTTCGATGCCCATCGTCTTCTCTGAAGTATATTGGTGCTGCCAGGATCAGACGTATCTCACTGTCATGAAAAGACTCATGTTATTAAAACACTTTAAATTCCATATTCTGTAGATCTGTGAAGTGTTTGAAGACCACCTATCTAAATATATCTTTGTTTATTCTTATAAAACATACCTAATGACTACAAGTTTGATTGTTATCGATAACTAACTACTAATCTGCATTTCTTAATTATCCTAAATAGTTATCCTAAATAGTTTGTAATAATAGCTTTCAAGGACTAGAACTTTACATTACATTTTTAAATGAGCTGCATAGGTACAATACCTTAAACAAGAGTAGAAATATATATACAATATGTTATAACAAAAGAATCTTAAATTTGTATCAATATACAAAAATCCATACCAGTATAAAATATTTGAGACTAGTAGCTGGTTTTTAGTTTAAAAGTAGATTCTGTAATCTCCCCTTTTATCCTGTCATTCCTATATCCCCTCCCCTATTTTTTTCACTAGATAGTAGAGATAGAAGGATAGAGGAAAGAAAAAGAAAGAAATCCCTTAATTTAACCTTCTGTGTTTAGTTTCCTCACTGACTATAACCAATAACAAATCACAACTAACCTCCCTAAATAAAGACAAACATCTGTAATCCACCGAATGACCAAAACCCACCTATCTCATCTCTTGGGAATGTGAGCATTGTGTTCTTAAAATTAATTCCTGCTGCCTGGGGACAATGGCATCTTTAGAGGACCCTCAGAAATTTGGGATAATGGTTAAGTCCTGGGAGAGCTAGCTGTATCATTTTGTGTCCAGTCTGTGTGTTTTGGGAAATTACACTTAACTGAAGTCCTGGCTGCAGTAGTCTGTGAGGCCGGACCATCTCAGCTAGGTGCTTTGAAGTTCTTCTGGATGCAGATTTTTGAGGAAACTGCAACAGAGGCTTTTTGTGAAACTGTATCACCTGGGCTACTTGTCTTGTCATACAAACTTTTAAATGTAACATACGTATCTGCATTAACATAAGTGTGGACTCTGTGGTGTGCACAAGTCAGCTAAAGTTGATTTTCTGTTCTATGTTTGAGCAGGTAAAAGACATCTGTCAACTTTATAAGTCTGTTTGGACTGTTTAACAAAATTGTAATAGAAATCACCTTCCAGGCCTCATGAAAGGATGGCATATAATAATAAGTTATTAAGACTCTATAGCTAACAAATTTATCATGTCTCATCCAGTGTCAGAGTTGTTCACATGTCAGGGGATCAGCATATACATCACCTGTCTGGTAGTTTTTCTTGGTTTCTTTCTTTGTATCTGCAGCCAAGATTTTCAGGAGTTCTCCTATAGTCAAATCTGTTCTTTATTAATTTTAAGGAATCCCATAACTTCTCTCTTCCTTTGGAAACAAAGGCATAACCTCTCCACCAACACAACAAATTTCCTCTTCCGTTTTGAAGTCAAGACATCCTTAAAATATATATAGGCTTATTTAGTTCAGCAGTTTTTTTTTCCCCAAAATCCAATGTCTCTCAGTAGCTGTTGTTTTTTGTTCACTAGCATTCAAAAAAACTAAAGTTAATAAAGAATTATATAGGCCCAAACATCCTGTGTTATGATATTTCCCGTCCTTATATGGCTTATTCTTTTTATATTACTTTACTTGCTCTTTAAATACTTCCTTTTATTATTTTCAAGCTCTTTATTTATTTACTTATTTATTTTTTCTTACTCTGTATGCCCATTTTCTTTTCTTTCTTCAGTACTTAAACACATTTTCAAGCATAATGTGGTTGATCTAATTGACACAGGAAGAAAACGAAAGTGAAAGGGAGAAAGAAAAACCTAAACACTTCTCATGAATTCTGTGTGGCTGGAGACTTAGGCCGGAGAACTTGTCCTAAATTGAAACAGAAGAGTTCTATATTGTTTGTTATTTGGCAGAGCCACTTATTTGTAGAGACCCACAGAGGTTTCCTAGTGAGAATTTACTCAGAGTCCAATAATCTGAGCTTGCTTTACCCAGCAGGGCTGCATAAGGGGATTATTTTACCATGGGCATAGTTAACAGGTATTTGGAAGGGTCTACACTTGGCTGTCTGGTGTGCTTAGGTCTAGCAAGGGGGAGGTCTTTTGCCCCACTTCTTGGAATGTTATAAAAAGCCCTTTTGAAGAGGCAGAGGGACTGTTGGACTTTGATCCGGGTCCTCCCAAAGCTACCCTGTGATTCTGTTTTTCTCCTCTTCACTATCTTTATATCTAGAAGCTTCTTATCCCTCTCTCTTCCTCATAGGAACCCTTTAAAAGGTGCCAGCTGGTCTCCCACACTTATTAATCCACTTTTCTTGTCTTCTGTTGATTTTTTATCCATTACTTGGTGAATAACGTAGTAGAGATGGTGTATCCTTAACTAACCTATATTGTAGGACATGGAGACCTCAGGTTGATGATTGTTTTTGACCAAACTGATTAGTTTGGTGAGCCATTGAGAACATAAATATCACAATGGAAATGGAGTAGGAAGTAGGTAGAGACATTTTTAGTCGTGAGAGAGGAGAATTGGTTTACTTCGCTCTGTGTAACTGCCCAGTACTCAATTAGTTATTGAAAAGCAAAGGCATAGTACAGGTCAGAAATACACAGTGAAAGGTGTCAGTAGGCCCTATGAGTAAGGATACTCCAAGGCATCAGTTATCTTGGGGGGCTTTGAAGGAAAGAGGATTTGATTGCTAAGAGACACAGAAGGTTCAGTGTTTTGACTGACAGGATTGCATTTGGTCAGCCTTGCTAACCGCACATGTCATTTCCCATAGACATCTGATTTTAGAACTGTGAGGCTCAATTATTTAGAAGAAAAAATTGTGAAAACATCAAAAGAAAAACTCTTCTTGAACATTTCCTTTGAGAATACAGTTTGCCTTATACATACACCTCAAACTACTTGATTTCACATCAGTCTATTTTTCATATATCCCATTTGTTTTCCAAAAGGTATTTGAATACAATAAGGAGTTACTAAGGCATTGCTAAAGGAACTAACTTGTTGCTATTTTTAAAGCAGACATAGATACAACACACTAAAGAGAATTTTTCTAAGACGGATAACCACAGGGTTCTCATTGTTCAGAAGGACTGTGTGCAGAGACCACGCCAAGACCCGAGTCCCAGGTTGTTCAGTCTTCTCTGCTTGCTGCTTCACTGTTATCCCGGGGCTCGGTATCAACCTAATTATCAATCACAGCCACTCTCCTTGTGTCAGATTTTAGCTTGCTCACGCTCTTTTCTTCTACCAAGTACTCAACAATCTGTACCATCAAGTTCATTTCCAGTTCTCTGATGTAGGGCAGAAGGAAGTTATGTTCTTGACTATGATAGCACAGAAATGGCCCTTACTCTAGTTCCTGACTGAGTCCTTGTTCCTCACTGAACTTTCCTGATACATGGCTCCTCTGTAGGCATTTTTTCAGTATTTTTGTCTTTGAAGTGTCTACCAGAATGATTCATTTAGCTTTGTGTTCAGTGTGGTCTGGATTTTTTTTTTTTTTTTTTTTTTTTTTTTGTCTAAAGAGAATTTTCTTGCAAATTCCTCCACATTTCTTTTAAAACATGTTCAAAATGCCAACAGAGAACCAGGTTAGTTTTGCTTACAACAAAGGTCCCACTTTTAAAAAAATATAATCCTTGTATTAGGCTTTTCATCTGTCGTAAATGGATCTGAGAAATGTGATTTAAAGCAGAAAGCATTTATTCCATCTCACAGTTGAAGAGTACACTCCATAAAATGCATGACTGTGAAGCATTTGGTCAAATCACACACAATCAGGAACAGAATGATGTGTAGTTGTCTGTGTCTCAGCTGCCTCCTTCCACTAATATAATCCTTTTACAGTTCTCAAAATGCTTCATCTCAAGTGTGTGTGTGTTGTTTCGGCTGTGACTTGCCCCGTAGGCTCGTATATTTGAAACCTTAGTTAGTGGAACTCATTGGAAAGTATTAGAAGTGGCCTCAGTTTAGGGGGTGTGTCATTGGAGGTGGTCTTTGAGGTTTTAGAAGCCCATTTCTGGCACTGTGTCCATCTTTTTGCCTGCTATCTTTTTCAGGAGTAAAACATACAGCTACTTTTCCAGCTCCATGCCTGTCTGCTTCCCATCATTATAATCATTGACTAACTCTCTGAAAGTGTGAGCAAGCCCTGATTAAATACTTCTTTGGTCATGAAGTCTCATCTCAGCAGTAGAATAGTAACCGAGACTGTGCATCTGCCTTTCTTACAATAAGAACTCAAGATAGCATCCTACACACGTTTTGTGATTAGCAGTCATCTGTGTAATTACTTAGAAGTATCTTCAGAATCTTCAGTCCTAGATGATTCTGTATATTGTCAGCCTGTCAGTGAAAAGTAACCATCTTAATATGTGCACTATTTTAGGAGTCCGTGACCTTTGAGGATGTGGCTGTGGAGTTCACCTCAGGAGAGTGGGCTTTGTTGGATTCTAGTCAAAAGAAGCTCTACAGAGATGTGATGAAAGAGACATTTTTGAATCTTATGTCCATAGGTAAAGAACACAACCTACTCCTGTTGCATATTCAGTCATAGAACAACTGTTTCTTGCTTCTATATGTAGTGGTGTGATTTGAATTCTTGAATGGAACATGTGGTGACTTTAGTGTGCATACCCATGTCGTAAGAGCGAGATTGTAATAATTTTTTTAAATCTTGAGTATGTCATAATGAATTCTTTGGGTTTACTTCTAGAGAAAGGACTAGAAGAAAATATTGAAGAGGACTACAAAGATCTCTGCAGAAATCTGGGGTAATTTATAGTCAATAGAAAGGAATTTATATTTAACATTTGGGAGTGAGAGGACAAAATGAATCTAACAAATTGAAACTAACCACAATTAGATGGAAACTAACCAAAACCCTTTAACTTGTCTACCTTACACTCAAATCCCACACTATTAATCCAGAACCTTTCATGGCTTGTTTCTCTCTAAATCATCTTAATCTCACAATATATAGCATGATGGAACATTAGAAAGTACAGATTCTTAATAGAAAATATCACAGGAACTGTCCTAGTAGAGCCTTTGAGGGACATTCCATCATCCCTAAAACTAGAGAAGTCAAACTTCCATCATTTACATTGTTCTCAGCATTCCTGTCCTCTGAGTTCCTGGGACAACTCATTATCCTCTGAGATTGGGTGACTAAGGTCCTGTAGCCTATGCGTTTCTGGTCATTTTCACAGTCTTCATAAAAACCACATGGTCAGCTCTGTCACAGTAATACCCTATGAACCTGGTAACCAACTTCTGTTTTAGAGTGCTCTCTGTTCATGTTATAATCACCATGACCAAAGTCATCTTTCGGAGCAATGGGCATATTTTGGCTTACACTTCCATGTTATAGTCCAGGAAGTAAGGCAGGGCAGGAGCTCAAAATAGGCAGAAACCCAGAGGCTGGAACTATTTGGAGACCATGGGGGAATGCTTGCTTGTTGTGGATTACTAAGGTATCTTTCTTATAAAATTCATATCCACCTGCCCAGAGGCACACCTTCCACCATGGGCAAAGCCCTTTCTCATGAATCAGGAATGAGAAAATGCTCCTAAAGACTTGTTTACAGCCCAATGTTTTTGAGCCATTTTCTCAATTAAGGGTCCCTATTCTTCGGTGACCCAAGATGGGTCTAGTTGATAAACTAACCAATGTAGGCTGAGTATTTTGAACGCCAAAATGCAACAACTTTATGTGATTGTTATGATTGTCTCTTAATGCCAAGATGTGTGCCTGAATATTCATTCCATTTATATCCATTAATTATTTTATGTGTATGTATATGTATACTTTGTTCACTGCCTGTGGGAAAAAGATTTCCGGGGGCCAGAAGAACACAATAGATCCTTCAACTCAAGACCAACAGGAATTTGTGAACCCTCCACATGAATGCTCATGTTAAAACTGTGGTCTACTGGACGAGCAAGAATTGTTCTTAATCTCTAAGACTATGATACAGCTCCTTCATAATTTTTTTGTTTCATTGGTTTTTGGTTTTGGATTTTTGAGATATGCTTTCTCTCGGTAGCCCTAGCTGTCTTAGAATTAGCTTTGTAGACCAGGCTGGCACTGAACTCACAGAAGTCTGCCTGTCTCTGCCTCCCTAGTGTTGGGATTAAAGGTGTATACCACTACTACCCTGCTGCATTCATTGTACTTAATGAAGCATAGTCAACAGTCTACTTCTTTACATATGATGGGTTGACAAGTAGTTACATTGTCCTCAACTTTGGAGGTATTCTGCTCTTTCCTCTCTAATAGTAAAGTTGTAGTAGACCACATTAACCAGCCTTCAACATTTCCCTTGTTTAAAGTAATTGTCTTCTCATTTCTTACAGAACTCAGTTGGTTGAGAAAGACTGTGAATATAAATATGATAGTCAGTGTGATGGCAACCATCATCCAATTCAAAAGAATATGGTTAATGGAGACAACCCTCCTGCAGTAATAGTTGATGAAAGCCCATTGCTTGTAAGAAACATCATTGATCATTCATCCTCACATGTATATCTTAGAGATCAAACTACAGGGAAAGAATCTCAATGTAAGGAAGCTTTTATACATCAGAAACATTGGGAAAATATCAGTAATTCTGAATCACTTCAGGTACTTGAAACTTCTCCCAGAGAGAAATCTCATGAGAATCAGCAGTGTAAGGAAGACTTTAGGAGTCTCCCTTCTAATCAGCATCATGACAGAACACAATGTGGTGATAAACTCAATCAGAACATATTAAGGAGATATACATTTGGCCCAAAAGATGATGGAATCCATACAGAAGTGAAATCATTTGTTCACAACCACAGTGAAGAAGCCTCTATTGATTCCAATAACCTTATCAACCCTGAAAAAGGTCATATTGGAAAGAAAAAATACAGTTGTAAGCAATGTGGGAAAACATTTCAATATGCTTCATGTTTTGAGAAACATAAAGTAACTCACACTGGAGAGAAGCCTTATGCATGTAAGCATTGTGGAAAAGCTTTCACCAGTTCTAGTTGGTGCAACACTCATGAAAGGGGTCACACTGGAGAAAAGCCTTACATGTGTAAGCACTGTGGAAAAACCTTCAGAAGTTCCAGTTACTGCAACATTCATGAAAGAGTTCATACTGGAGAGAAACCTTATGCATGTAAGCACTGTGGCAAAACCTTTGCCATTTTGAGGTCTCGTAACTGTCATGAGAAAATTCACACTGGAGAGAAGATTTACGCATGTAAAGATTGTGGAAAAACCTTCTCAAGTCCCACTTCTTGTTGCATTCATGAAAGAATTCACACTGGGGAGAAACCTTATACATGTAAGCATTGTGGCAAAACCTTTGCAAGTTTGACTGGGTGTATCACTCATGAAAGAAATCATACTGGAGAGAAGCCTTATGCTTGTAAGCATTGTGGAAAAGCTTTCAACAATTCCAGCTATCGCAATGTTCATGAAAGAATTCACACTGGAGAGAAACCCTATGCATGTAAGCACTGTGGCAAAACCTTTGTCATTTTGGGTTCTCTTATCACTCATGAAAGAAGTCATACTGGAGAGAAGCCTTACACATGTAAGCATTGTGGAAAAGCCTTTTCCCAAGCCAGTTATCGTAATATTCATGAAAGAATTCACACTGGAGAGCAACCTTATGCCTGTAAGCACTGTGGCAAAACTTTTGCCATTTTGAGTTCTCGTAATACTCATGAAAAAATTCACACTGGAGAGAAGCCTTATGCATGTAAGCATTGTGGGAAAGCCTTCACCAGTTCTATCTGGTGTAATGCTCATGAAAGGGGTCACACTGGAGAGAAACCTTATGCATGTAAGCATTGTGGGAAAATGTTTGCCATTTTGAGTTCCCGTAACACTCATGAAAAACTTCACACCGGAGAGAAACCTTATGCCTGTAAGCATTGTGGTAAAGCATTCACCAGTTCCGGTTACCGTAACAAGCATGAAAGGGGTCATACTGGAGAGAAGCCTTAAACATGTAAACATTGTGGAGAAACCTTTGCCAATTTCAATTGATGTAACTCTCATGTAAGAATCCATACTGGAGAGACATCTCATACACTTAAAAATTGTAGAATCCTTCGCCAGCTCCTCTTACTGTAATACTCATGAAAGGATTTGCACCAGAGAGAAATTGTTTCCATATAATGTATATCGGAAGCTGTTCCTTCAGGTTTATTATCATACCAGGCATGAAAGAATTCACTGAAGAATGAAGACTTGCACATGTAAGCATCGTGGAAAAGCCTTTTCCCACTCTAGTTATTTTAACATTCATAAGCGGTGTCTCATTGAACAGTAGCTTTATATATATAAGTATAGTGGAAAACCTTCTTGGTAATTAGGGTTATGTTACTAGGCATTTTCTGGTTGTCATTTGTGTAGACTTTTTCTTTTCCAAAGATTCATAGCTTCTGTCTGTTGTGTTGTGTGTATGTGTGCCCATGCATGTAAGTTCCTGGGGTCAGAAGAGTGTGTAGGATCCCCTGGAACTTTAGTTAGAAGCAGTTGTGAGCTGAGTGAGTTTGGTACGAGGATACAAACTGCAGTACTTTGGAAGAGCAATAAGTGCTTTTCATCTTTATACAGTCTCATCATCAACTTTGTTTATAGAAATTTTGTGGCTCGTACTTCTCAATATTCATTAAGCAGAGAATTGGAGTTTTTTTTTTTTTAGTTTTTACTGATGCTTTTATTCATTTTGACAGTTTCATGTATTTCTATAATATTTTAGCTGTCAATAAGAAAGAGTTTTTCAGCCAGGCGGTGGTGGCGCACGCCTTTAATCCCAGCACTCGGGAGGCAGAGCCAGGTGGATCTCTGTGAGTTCGAGGCCAGCCTGGTCTCCAAAGCGAGTACCAGGAAAGGTGCAAAGCTACACAGAGAAACCCTGTCTCGAAAAACCAAAAAAAAAAAAAAAAAAAGAAAGAGTTTTTCATAATTCTTCTGCAGCCTCATAAGTTTTTTTTGTTTTTGTTTTTGTTTTTTTCTGGAGCTGAGGACTGAACCCAGGGCCTTACACTTGCTAGGCAAGCACTTTACTACTGAGCTAAATACCCAACCCCCTCATAAGTTTTTTTAGAACCACAGGGGAATTGAGGCAGAAAAAAATTAGAAACTGCAGGAGAAAATTAGAAACTATGGATGAACATGTAAAAGGCAGTGGCAGCTGAGAGGAGACAGCTTTAATCTACCTGAGTTTCATTCACCCAAGGGAGCACTCTTACAAAATCCCCATTTAGATCTTGGAGATGGACCCTAAGTTAATGACCCATAAAGCCCTCCCTCGAACACCTCCCCCCGCCCCTTTTTGCCACCTGTGTCAATTCACAGTCCAGATATGGCATAGATTTTAGGCTACTCCATACCTCCCTCTTGTGTATGTACATGTCATTGCAAAGATACACAAGAACCTGGAAGATGTGTCTGCCCTGCAGACTCAGGTTACCTCACCTATAACAATACTTTTTTTTTTAAATGCCGAATGCTGTTTATTGAAGGAGGGAAGAGGTCTTAAATACAGGCTTACAGCACAGTGGGAGAACCCTGGAGGGCAGAAGTTTGCTACCGATGCTATAACAATACTTTAATGCAAGTGTAGATAATATTGTTCCTCTTGTGAATATTAAGGTGTTGAAAAAGCTTTATTTACCACAGAAGCAATAGAATGCATGATGACCTCCCAGAGTTAAATTCTTAGGTATCTCTACCTCATCACTAGGGAAGGACCTCTTTATCAGTTTCATCTTGAGGCTTTTGAACGATTTTCCCTTGTGTATGTAGACATACCTCCTATTTTAGGGCCAGGAAATGTCTTCATCTGATTTTGAGCCTTGCTTTTTATTTTTATAACTCTTGTATCATTTGTTGACTATTGCTGCCATGTAATTTCATTTTTCAGTGCATTCAGTGATCGTATTCCCTTGTTTGTATTTTAATTTTCTTTTATAAAATGGTTAGGTTGAATAAAAAGACATGGTAGATGAAGCCTTTTATCCCAGCACTCTGGAGGCAGAGGCAGGTGATGTGGGCTCCAAGCTAGCCTGGTCTATATTTTGTGTTTCAGGCTATTCAGTGCTCCATAATAGAGAGACTGATTCAAAAAAACCAAAACACACAACCAAACAATGAAATGGATAGGTTTAAGTATAAGGTGTGAAAAAGCCCCATTCCAAAATACTGTGTTTGCAAAGCAGGCCCTCGTTCCCATTGCTGTGTCTGAAGAGAATTCACGATTCCTTCTATCCCAACTCTGTTGGTTTTGGCCTCAGGACCTCCCGGAATATCCAGTCCTTATGTCTCTTTCATCAACTAGGGATGCTGTTACTTTCTTTCATCAAACATCCGCTAGGGTGCATGGATATTCAAACAACCTCACCCTTGCCACTGGGTTTGAATCCAGTGTAGATGCTGCTGAGATGTATCATGTTGGGCTCATTCAACAGTCACTTCTACTGATTTTAGGCCCATAAGGAGGACACTTTGATCCACCAGAAGCAGGAAAGAGTGAGTGTGTCCAGGGCTCCTGGAATTGTGAGTTGTTGTTTGTGACATAGCAAAGGCTGTGGCCCTGTGGCTTTGACATTCCTCTGGCACTGTGCAGACAGGAGCGCACTAGAGTACTGCATTGGCTTCCTCCTTCCAAAAGCATGCAGTTGTGTGCAAAGCAGACAGACTGTGCTGTGGAGGGTCGTGGGTGGTGTGCTCTCTTGGTAGTCTCCTTTAGAGCTATGTCAGTGCTGCTTTAGAGTTTTCCCGTCATCACCTTTGTCATTTTATATTTTTCTTAGTACTGAGCCCGAAGCCACGCCTGACATGACGTAAACACAGGCTTTGTTATTAGCCTACATTACCCAATCAAAAACTCATTTTGTGTGTGGGTTCTGTTAAAATATGATGTTTTTAAAATGATGATATAAGAGGGTTAGATTGTTCTGTCCGTGAAAGTGGGCCAAAATTCCTGGTCACCGAGGAAGAGGGAATTTTAATTAGATTTGTTTTTTTGCACTAACCATGCCTGAGGCAAAAATTGGGATTTTTGAAAAGCTCTCCTAGTCTTGTCCATTGAGAGCCCTGTGAAGGTGATCATGGGCTTGGGAGTGGATTGATGTTTGTTTGTTTTGCTCTAGGCTTCTCCAAGTGGAAGAAATTGCATGAAGGAGTACTTAATCACCAGTTAATCATTTTACATGGTGAACTTATTTGGAGGCAAAAAATAGTATTTTCATTTTGTTAGATTTTAGGGTACAGGAGACAGAAGGCTGGGAAGAGACAAGAGTCTGACCTCAAGAGACAACACAGGGCATTAGCACGTACAGCAAGTGGCACCTAATTTCCTGCTGTGCAGTGAGCGAAAGCTGCCTGACACCTTTATGTGAGGGGCTTAGGAATGAAGAAGTTGGGTGAGCTTCCTGTACTACGTCCTCATATGCAGTCTCTCCTTACTGAAATTATTTACCCAAGGAAGGCAGACTCTCTTGGGAAACAGGTCATCTCAGCAGATTTTCTCTCTGGCCTGACCCATAATGGTTGAGAATTTCATGCCTTCCTCCATTCTTCCATGTGGGATTTTAAATGGTCAACAAGCCCAGCTGTGGTAATCTTTTTCATGGGGGTACTTTGGAACTCCCCAGGAGGGAAGTTGCTTAGCTAGAAGGACAGTCACTCAAAGGATGACTAAGATTAGTCAAAACAGTTCCTCTCATGAGGAACATCTTTGATGGTCATATTTAGAGACTAAATTTAAGAGCACAGACTTCTCTTTCAGAGGACCACAGCATGTGCATGGTGGCTCACAACAGTGTGACTCCAGTTCTAGGGGATACAGTACCATCTTCTGATTTCCCAGGGCACCAATCACATATGAGGTACACTGATGTACATGCAAAAAAAAATCCACACTCAAGAACTGAAATAAATGAATCTTAATGTTCATGGGAGTGAATTTGTTACTCTGGGGAATATCCTGGTGTTTAAGGAATTATTTCAAAGCCCTGGAAGCAATAGCAGGCATGATGATGTCCCAAGGTTAAATCCTTTGGTCTGTCTTCATCATCACTTGAAAATGATCATTATTGGTCTCTTTTTAGCAGTCTGTGATATCATGAGGTTTGGGAGTATTTCCTATAGTGAATGGAAACTTTGTTCATAATCTTGGGTAAAGAGAACCTTTTCTGAAGTTCAAGGGTTGCTTTTCATAATTCTGAATCCTTAGTGGAGTACTCCTGCCGTATACATCTGTTTTATCCATCCATTGAGGAATTGTATCTTCTTGTTGGTGTATTTTAATTTTCTTGGCAGAAAATGCACACGATGTACTGTCAGGTGAGATAGTCATGGGCTGTTGCCTCATCCCTAATCTTTGTCTTTTTCTCTCATGCCCTGTCTTAGGGTTTTATTGTTGTAACAAAGCACCATGAATGAAAAGTAAGTTGAGGAGGAATGGGTTTATTTAACTTACATTTCCACATAGGTGTTCATCACTGAAGGAAGTCACGGCAGGAACTCAAACAGAGCAGGATCTTAGAGGCAGGAGCTGATGCAGAGGCGTTGGAGTGGTGCTGGTTACTGGCTAGTTTCCACTGGCTTGTTCATCCTGCCTTATAGAACCCAGGATCACTAGCTCAGGTATAGCATAATCCACCATGGACTGGGCCCTCTCCCATTGATCATTAATTGAGAAAATGCCTTACAGCTTGAACTCATGGAGGCATTTCCTCAACTGAGGCTTCTTCCTCTCCGATGACTCTAGCTTGTGTCAAGTGGACACAGAAAACCAGCCAGCACAACTGACCCCTTGTCATCTTAACACACAAACACTTCACTAAAGTTTCACAGTCTTTACAAATTCAAACACATTAAAATTTCAGTCTCTTAAAAGTGTCCAATCTCAATCTGAATTGGTGGAGGACACAGATTGCTGCCCCCAGACTTCTTGGTCTAGGTGGGGCACAATCAACCAGGAAACTGCCCACCACCTCAGTTATGAGGTTTTTAGGCCTGGGCATGGGAGAGAGGAAAGGCAACAGCCTTGCACCATGCTTTGTGGCTTGGGTGGTCAGGATTCAAGCGTCACCTGTTATCCTACCTAGAACCTCAGGGTTGGGTGGTTGGGCACCATTGTGAGAGAGTACAGGGTGGGAAGGTAGAGAGAGAGAGGTGGAATGGATTGTGGGCGGGGAGAGGTGGATCTGGAGAGATGAGAGTGAGTGGTGAGGAACGGGCTGTC